TCCCTGTTGGTGAGAAACTGTGGTATTGAATTTGGGTCCACCCTGATGATTTCATTTTGATCCGGTCACAGCCACAAATACCTTGTCTCCAAATAAGGTTGAATTCTGAGAGCTGGGCTGAGGACTTCAGGGTGGTGACGCATACAACCATAACAGATAGGATCTTCTAAGGAACCTCATTCTTCATGGGAGGCCACTTAGTGACTACTGAGAACCTCTCTCAAAATAAAAACTTAAACAAGGGTGGGGAACGGTGCTCAGTAGGAAGGGCCTGGGCCGTTCTTCCCCTCTGTCCACATGCTTTCTTTGTATCTGTAGGTGATGCCTGGAGCAGGGACAGCCACTTTGGATCCATTAGGAGAGCTGGACCAGCCAACACCCAGGTACAGAGATACAGAAAGACGAGAAGGAACGCAGGCCCTTGGCATTGTTTTTGAGGCTCTGAATAATAAACCAGGGCCTCCCTGCCCAGAGACTTCTTACATTCTTTTTTTGTGGGGGAACTGGGGATTGAACTCAGACCCTTGCACTTGCCAGGGAAGTGCTTATTCTACTGAGCCATCTCCCTGGCCCATGATTTGTTTCATTCTACGGTGGATTTTCTTCATTGCTTAAGCCAACCTGAAAGGCCACACTGTCCTTACTGGAAATCTCTTCTTATGAAGTGTCTTGAGAGATCTTGACAGGCCTTGGGAGGGCAAGGCTACCCTCAGCCACCAGGAGCTGGCAAAGAACCGGACTGTTCCTTCTCCCTCCTCTCTTTTAGGGGGATGAGGTGGGTAGGGTTTATGAGGATCAATCCCAACCCCAGTCCTTTATTTGATTTTTTAATTTATTTTGAGGCAGAGTCTCACTAATTTGTCAGCCAGGACTCAAAACGTGTGATCGATCATCCTGCCTCAGCCTCCCGAGTGCTGGCCATTTCAGGCAAGCAGTTGCCTCTTGAGCCATTTCTGACATGTGGAGTCCCTAGGGTGGAGGCTTGTCCTGAGGGTGGCCACTGTCCTGAGGATGGCCTCCTTGTGGACAATGAGCTCCTCGAGGGCGGGGAGACTGAGCACCCCAAGCTCCTGCAGCTGCCTGCCCTGTGAGCCTCCGCTGTGCAAGGCCCCACACGCTGCTCCTCGCCCTCCCACCACGGAAGGGAGGAAAGAAGGCAGGGATCCTCCCTGCCGCAGGGCTTGCAGAGGTGAGGCCCACGAGGGTGGGGCCCCACGGAAATGGGGCAGCGGCAAACCCAGCGGTAGAGGTGCTGCAACTTGTTGGGTCCCCGGGAGTCACTGGAAGGTGGGAGAGACTGCACCCAGGAGGCCACACTGCAGGCACCAGCAGGAGGGCAGGTGAGGGTTAGCCAGGAAGCCACTGTGCCCAGCCTCAGGGACCTCTGTATGCCTGTCCGGGGCTAGGGAGGATCAGGAAGAAGTTACAGTGCAATGGTGGGAAGATGGTGGGAAACCACAACATTGCACTGAGCCACATCTCCAGCCACGTTTTGGTTTTTTTTTTTAATTTTTATTTTTTATGCAGGGTCTGGTGAGTTGCTAAGTTTCCTAGGCTGGGCTAGAACTTGGGATCCTCCTGCTCCAGTTTCCTGGAATACTGGGAATCCAGGCAGGCACCCTTGGGGTTGGAGGAGGAGGTGCTGCCAGACACTAGCCACTGGCAGAATGAACCAGGACAGAGGCTGCTGTCCGCAGTGGCCTGCATGGCCACTGGCATTGGCCTCTACTTGTGCCTTCCCTGTGAGCCACCCAGGCTGGGCCAGGCGGGGCTGTGACGCCAGGTGACTTCCCACCCCTTCCACGCAATGCAGCACGGGTGATGCCACCATGGCTCAGTCCCCACCCCCACCCTCCGTGGGGCCTTCCCTGCCCCAGGCGTGTGTGCGCACTCAGACACGGGCAGTCACTTTCAGCCTCACAGAGAAGGAAGCCTGGCCCTCGGAAACACTGCAAACCACTCCGGGGGGAGGCCAGAGTCCTGAGCCAAGGACACAGCTTCTGTCACACATCTAGATGTGAGCGGGCACACCATGCCTGTCACTTCCCTGTGTCGAGTTGGGAGGCCTTTGCCCAGACAGGAAGGAACTTCCAAAGGGCTTGTGCAGCTGTCAGCCCCACTGTAGCCAACTCTCTGGATACTTTTTTTTTTTTTTTTAATTTTTGTGAAACCTGCAGTAGGTTCACCACTACCAATCTGCCGGTAATTCCAGCTAGTCTTGGTGATTTTATCACTCAATCTCTGGATACTTCTAAAGAAACTTGGTGCTGAACTGGTGCTACATGTTTACAATCTCAGCACTCTGGGAGGCTCAGGCAGGAGGATCACAAGTTCGACCCCAGCCTAGGAGACTTAGTGATTTGGAAGATCCTATCTCAAGCTGGGCATGGTAGCACAGGCCTACAGTCCTAGCACTCAGGAGGCTGAGGCAGGAGGATCAATGGGACTTGAGGCTAGCCTGAACTATTGAGACTCAGTCTCAAAAAAAAAAAAAAAAAAAAAAAAGATTTTAATCCCCCAAAAAAGGACTGAGGGTATAGCTGGGCACAAAGGCCGTAGGTCCAACTCCCAGAACAGAAAGAAAGGAGGTTGAGAAAGAAAAAAAAAAAAAAAAAAATTCAGTGAGACAGAATGTGATTGTGGATTTGTAGGTAAAACACAAACTCACATTCCAGAAAGCCTTCCATGCTGAATATTGTACCACTGTGCAAGCAGGACTCCTTAAATCTGTAATCACTAAAGGTACCAGGTTTTTCTTTTCTTTTCTTTTCTTTTCTTTTCTTTTCTTTTTTTTTTTTTTTTTGTACTAGGAATCAAACTCGTGACCTTTCGCTTGCCAGGCAGGTGCTGTGCTGCTCAGCTGCTCAGCTAAATCCCCAGACCTGTAATCACTAAAGACTAACAAGCCCTCTCAGGAAAAAAGAAAAGAAGGGCTGGGTGTGGTGGCGCACATCTGTGAACCTGTAGGCTGAGGCAGGAGGAGTGCTGTGGATCCAGGGCCAGCCTGAACTACACAGTGACACTGGATCTCAAAACCGTATCAGCCCCGTCCCCCTCCATCCGAGTAACTTTTATGGCTTGCAATCATCCACCTGGCAAGGATGTGAAGTGGTGCTTTTTTCTGATTTGTGCAGTGCTGGGCCAGGGGCCAGCGTCTGGCCCCAGCACACATGGGTGCCCCCGTCCCTGAGCGACTCCCCCAGTTCTCACTGCTTTTCCCTTAGGGAAAGTAGGCGGGGGAGGGGGGGCGCTCTCACTTGAGGAAAAACAACGCTTGAGGAAAGACAAGGAAGCCCTGCACCTGACGCAGGCCAGGCTAAGCCACTGGAGTTATCTTCTGGGATCTTTGATCTGACTCAGCCTGCTGCCCCGCACACCTGCTGCCAGGTATTCTCCAGCCCAAGCCTGCCAAGCCTGTGAGCCAGGAAACCTGTGGCTCCTTCCTGTGCCCTGGTTCCCCTTCCTGGCCAGCGCTCAAGACCTTTGTTACTTTGTTCTAGCCAATCTCCTAAGGCTAACATGGCCTCACCATCCCACCAGACTGCCAAGGGGCCCCATACACTACACACGAGCTGCCCTGGGCACTCTGGGAGGCTGAGGCAGGAGGATGCCAAGTTCAAGACCAACCTGAGCAACTTAGCAAGCTTCTATTTCAAAGTAAAGGTAAACAAAGGGCTGGGGATTCAGCTTAGGGAAAGGTCCAGGGTTCAACTCCCGGGCAAGACGAAAGAATAAGCGCAGTAGTGCTGGGGCTATCACTTTCTTTGCCCTGGGAAGAATCAAGCTTGTCAGGGTGCAGCCCACTCCCAACTCCCTCGTCATCCCTAGCCCTTGGCACCTGATACCAGTGGCCGCTTTTAGGACTCTGCCTGCTCCCTTTCTGTGGAAGCCTTGCCCGGTTTGGGAAAGATGGCTCCTGCCCTCTTTCACAGACATGTACATGACACTGGTATTCAAACGAAGCCCCGGGCCCGGTGGGGTATCAGGGTGGTCTTCTACATTTCCCCAGCTTGGGTGGCTGTAAAGACCCTGGGCCTGAGGCCCAGAGAAGGATGGTGACTGGTCCAGGAGCTGCTGAACTCTTCTAGGGTACCCCTGCACCCCAAACTCCTGCAAGGTCGGCTAGACCTACACTTTAACCTCACCACGCCCTAGGCTGCATCATAGCCTGTTTGCTGGGCACCCCCAGCCCCGGGGCTCGCTGGAATACTATGTAGCCCAAGCTGGCCTCAAACTGTGATCCTCCTGTCTCAGCCTCCCGCATGCTAGGATTACTGGAATGCACCACCATACCCAGCCCATTAGCTGGATTTTGTCTTCAAGGCTCTGGGAGGCTGAGGCAGGAGGGCTGCAACAACTCTGGGCCCACCATGGGCAACTTGGAGATCCACCAGCTCTTGGCCACCGTGCGGGGACCCTGTGCACTTCTTCCCCGCTTCCAGTCAGAAGGCGCCCGCTGCACCGGAAACGGTTCCAGCCTGTCTCCTGCTTAGAGGTGCCGGGCTGCAGGGTACAGAGTCCGCTCCATCGCGTCTACGTGGCTCATGCGCCCCGGAACTCAGCTCACAGTCGTGATTTCGTTTTTTGCCCCGGAGCATCAGGCGCCGAATGCCAAAGAGAACATAAAGTTTTACGTGGCTGCAGATGTTCATACCGAGGGAGGTGCAGGGATGCAGCACGGCGCGCCTGCGGGGGAACACAGCCGCGGTCGGGGCCTAGGGGCGCGCTGCGCGTGCGCGGGTGCGGGCTGGCCGGCCCGGGCGGCAAGGTGCCTGTACGCGTGCGCCGGCTGGCCGCGGGGCTGGGCGGGGCGCAGAGTGGGGCACCAGGGCGGGGCCGGAGGTCCCAGGGCGCGAGAGGGCAGGCCGGCGGGGCGGCGCGCTCGGGGACCTGACGTTTACTCGTCGCGCCCCGCCCGCCTCTGCGTCCGGCCCGGGCCGCGGGCCGCCAAGCCCCCGCCCCGCCCCCGCCTCCCGGCCCGAACCGATCGCGGCTGGTTTGAGCTGGTGTGTCTCCATGGCGACGCGCGTGGCGTATAAGTAGCGGCGCGGCGCTGCTGGCTTTGTCAGTCGCTGCATCCGTCGCCTCCGGCAGTCCTCAGGCAGCAGCTCGGCGCCACCTCCGGCCGGCACCTCCGGCTGGCGCAGCGAGGCGGCGGGGGCGTCGTCCCATCCCGGGTGCTGTTCCTGTTTCTACTGCTGCTCCAGCTCCGGCTCCGGCTCCGGCTCCGGCTCCGGCTTCGGCTTCGGCTTCGGCTTCGGCTGTAGCTTGGCGCGGTCTCGGCCTCGTCCCGGCTCCGGCTCCGACGCGTCCATGGGGCCGGCCCGCGGTGGCCCGGCGCTCTGAGAGGTGAGCAGGCGCGGGTGGCGGCCACGTGTGCGGGCCGGCGGGTGACACGTGGTTGCAGGGCCTCGCCACCCCTGGAACCCCTTTCTCTGGATCCCTGCTGTTTTCAGTGCTTGTTTCTGCTGTGTGCACGGAGCAGGTGACACCGATGGGCGAAGGTAACTCTTAAGATAGCCCATAAGGAACTGAATGAGTGGGAATGACCCACCGTGGGTACAAGGGTTTACTTAAAGGCTCTTTGACTTAGTGATTTAAGAAAAAAGCCTGACTCTCATAAGGAGTCAGGTGTGGTGGTGCATACCTGTAGTCCCAGGGCTGGGGAGGCTGAGACAGGAGGATCATTCCTAGTTCGAGGCCAGCCAGGTCTACACACCGTAGGTCCTGTCTCAAGCATACCCCCACCCACAAAGGAGAAAGCCTGCCTTGCGAATCGGTGTGCACACAAGAGCCAGCTGTGAGGGCTTGCCGAAGAGGCTGATTGTGCGATTGCAGAACTCTAAATGATGGCGAAAATGAGTGTGGAGAGGCGCCCAGGAATGTCTGGGGAAGACAAAGAATGTGTTGGCTTGCTTCATTCAGACCTAAAATGGGGCAGAATTCGATTGACTCTTGAGGTTTAAGTATTTGTTTAAATGCCCTCCTGACCTTTCCAGCATACCAGCTTATGCTAATTGCCTTGGAGACCAGGTCATATGCTAAAGTAAAATTTTTCGTGAGTTATTCAGGTAAAGCTTTAAGAAGATCCAGAACAGCAGAGTACTAAGTGGTGGGTTTTTTCCCAAAGAAACAACGCCTTCCAGCCTTCCACGTTTAAGCAGCCTTTGATTCATGTCAACAGGAGCCAGAGTCTGTAACCACCGAGCCTTTTTTATTAGCGGCTGGGAAAGGCTTTCCCTAGGGTGATTTAGGCATCTGGAAGTCCATGGTGCCTACTGAGACTCAGGCGAGTGCTGTAGGCGCGGGCTTGGATTTGTTGCCGGTGTCCCAGGAGTGTTCCTCGCTGCAACATCCAAGGGGGATGGCAGAAATTGGGATAGGTTAAATTGAGTAGTTTTAAAAATCATCATCAGTGTCACATATTGGTGAAGGCCAAGAACGGGCTTTTATTACTACCATGTTGTTCTTGCTTATTTTTCTTAGTAAGTTAAAGATTCGCATATGGTGATCAGTGATCATTCACAGCTACTAGAGGGGCTGGCATGGGGGTATGAAAGTCCCAGTATTGCTAATTACTGATTGAAGAGTACCATACTTGTGATTAGGTAATTGCAACTACAGTATCATGTATTGCAGTGCAGGTCAGAATTGGCTCTGGATGTTCTTTGGAACTCCCAAGTGCTTAGTAAGCCACATGGTCTAGATGTTTCCACAGTGCTGCTTAAGCAGGAAAAGTCCTTGGGAGTTGGGTGGAGGTGGGGACTGGCAAGGTGTCTTACTGCTTCATATCTACTGCTGTATTGCTCTTCAGGTCTCCGAAGAGTGGAGACAGGGCTGAAATAAAGCTGACCAAACTTGTGTTTCTTGGGAGGCTTACACAGGAGGACTATAAGGTCAGGTGCCACCTACGCAATTTAGTGAGACCCTGTCTCTTGATAGAGCTCCATATGAAAGTCCTGACTCAGTCCCCAGTATCGGAAAATAAAACAAAAAACACTCGTCCCAGCTGTGAGCTAAGTGCAGGCAAATTTATGAAGGCAGCAGTCTCTACTTGGGGCACACATGTTTACGCTGCTTGTTTTGATATGTGCTTGGTTTTTTTGATACTTGCTTGTTTCTCTGTGTATTACATAGAGAATTGGGACCCAAGGGCATCAGCCATAAGCTGTGTCCTGGGGCCCCGCAGGGTGTCCCTGCCTCCTGCCTGTAGTGGCCTGGGGCTGAAGGTCGACCCGCGTTCTCTTCTCAGAACACTTCTGCTGCTGCTCCGAGGACGTGGGGCTTGGAGTTCCTGGAGCCTCTGCCTTGTGAGGAGCTGGAAGGGTCCCTCTGAATCCATCGCTTAGTTTCCCACGTGAGTGCTGAGCTCCACCACAGCATGGGGTGAAGGTGAGGGGGAGGGCCCAGACTCCACTGCTGAGCTAAGGCCACAGAGTGAGTTGCCTTCCTCATTTGCAGCTTGCTGCCTTTCCAGGTGTAAAGAAGCCATGACCTGTGCTCACAGTGAGGAGTTTGACTGCTGCTTCCTGGATGAAGGCTTTACAGCCAAGGACATCTTAGACCAGAAGATCAATGAGGTCTCATCCTCTGTAAGTGAGGCCCCAGGCACTGGGTGTGGGACCAGGGCTTTTGAAGATGGTAGTCACTGGTGACATCCACCTGAGAAAGGGGACTGAGGGAGGTGCATACTGCAGAGCTGCCTGTGGTTACCTGAGATGCGGGACACCCTCTCCTTTCAGGATGACAAGGACGCCTTCTATGTCGCAGACCTTGGGGACGTTCTCAAGAAGCATCTGCGCTGGCGGAAAGCTCTCCCTCGAGTCACCCCCTTCTATGCAGTCAAGTGCAATGACAGCAAAGCCATCCTGAAAACCCTCGCTGCCATTGGGACAGGATTTGACTGCGCGAGCAAGGTACCAGAGAGTGGTGGGCTTTGAGGGTGATAGCCATGCCCGTGGCAGGCGGGCACTGTGTTGGAACCGCGTACCCTACGGAAAGGCAGATGCTGGTGGCTCCTGGGTGCTGCTCACCATGCACAGGTAGTGTGAACCCCTCTCTGCCTTCTCAGACGGAGATCCAGCTGGTACAGAGTCTCGGGGTGTCACCAGAGAGGATCATCTATGCCAACCCCTGCAAGCAGGTGTCACAGATCAAGTATGCAGCCAGCAGTGGGGTCCAGATGATGACCTTTGACAGTGAAGTTGAGCTGCTGAAAGTGGCCCGGGCACATCCAAAGGCTAAGTAAGTCACTGTCCTCCATCTGAGGGAGCGGGCAATGTAGATTCTCCTCAGACCAGGTGGAATTCCACTTCCTGGAAAGTTAAATGAGCACCCCAGTGGGTGAACAAGGAGCTCAGAGGCATGACCCGCTTAGTGTAGGACTCTGAGAGGTTTTCTGGCCTGAAATGCGGGACACACTCTTCTCTCTCAGGTTGGTCTTACGGATCGCCACTGACGACTCCAAAGCTGTCTGTCGCCTCAGTGTGAAATTTGGTGCCACACTCAAAACCAGCAGACTCCTTTTGGAACGGGCAAGAGAGCTAAATATTGATGTCATCGGTGTCAGGTGAGGTCTTGGTGGCCTTGTGTAGCCAAGATGCCAGGTGGTGCTAGCCTGGTGAGCGTGAAAAGGTAAACTGTTCTTATGCCTGCAGCTTCCACGTGGGGAGCGGCTGCACTGACCCCGAGACCTTCGTGCAGGCTGTGACAGATGCGCGCTGCGTCTTCGACATGGGGGTGAGTTTGGCCCAGGGCTGCTGTGGGGGAGGGTGGTGATGGGAGTGTGCACCTGGCTTGCCATGCTGCAGGTGCAGTTAGCGTAAGCCCTTCCTGATCCCTGCTCTTGCTCTAGGCTGAGTTTGGCTTCCACATGTATCTGCTTGATATTGGAGGTGGCTTTCCTGGATCTGAGGATGTGAAGCTCAAATTTGAAGAGGTAATTTGTAACAAGATTCTGAGATACAATAGCTATTCTAGCATGTTCTCTCTTGCTTGAGATAGGGCTTCGGTATCCATTCAGGGTATGCCATTCAGGCTGGTGGTGTGTAGCCCTCACTGCCTCAAACTCAGCTCTTTTCCTGCATCAGCCTCCCCAGTTCTGGTATTATAGGTCTGTGCTACCAGCATGATTTTTAATTAATTTTTTTGCGGTACTGGGAGTTGAACTCAGGACCTTGTGCTTGCCAGGCAAGTGCTTATTCTACTGAGCTATCTACCCAGCCCAATGTTTTTTTAAAAAAACTTTTAAATTATTATTATTACTATTATTATTATTATTATTATTATTATTATTATTATCATTTCGGTATTTGGTACAAGGTCTGCAGGGTCTCACGTAGTGTGACCTCTAGTGATCCGCCTGTATTCAGCCTCCCAAGAGCTGGGATTACAGGTGTGCTATGCCCTGGGGGTGGGGCCAGCATAGTATGCTGGGGATTGAACCCCAGCCACTGCACTCTGCCAAAGCAGGCACTTTAGTCCACTGAGCTATTTGGCCGACCCCTGCCATTTTTTTATTTTAACAATACAAGTAGATAATAAAATATAAACAACACATCTGTGTAAACAATAAAGTTTTATAACAACATCCCTGGGTGTGGTGGTTCACACCTATAATCCTAGCACCAGGGAGGCTGAGACAGGAGAATCACTCTGAGTCCAGGCTGCGTAGTGAGACACTGTACCAAAAGCATTAAAAAAAAATTTACAACAAAATAATTGGAGAATAATTTCTGACATTGCCAGTTAAACAGAAGACCCAATGCTATTATGGGCTACTGGACTCTTTTAGAATATTTTGCTGAGTTTACACACCTATAATATTCAAAAACGGAACTTAGAAAAAATAGGGTATACAGATGAATGTCCATTTTGTATCTGTGTATTCAAAGTGGTTAGGATAGATATATAGTTGCATTCTCTTAATGAATAGAATGATTTGTCCTAATGGTGTTTGTAAATAGGATCTCAAGTCCGCATCTTGTGCAGCAATTAACCACTAAGAAGAATATATGCAGTGTGTTATTTGTTGAAACTGTACTTCTGATTTGATTTGAAACTGTCTCATTGCTGTTTATCAATAAAATTTTGGGAAAAAAAAAATAAAGTCAGTCAAATCCCCTCAGGATTTATCCTGAAACCCTGTAAAAAAAAAAATAATAATAATAATAATAATAATTGGAGAATAACAGAGGTTACTGTACTGTGTATCATGACCTTTTTTTTTTTTTTTCTGTGGCCAGGTCAGCCCACTCTGGGGACGGGACTGCCATGGCATGTGGTGCTGGGGATCCAACCGTGGTCCCTGCACTTTGCCTAAGCTTGTCTGAGCAGGTGCTTTAGACCACTGAGCTATCTCTCCAGCCCTTCATGACCTTAAAAGAATGGCCAAAGCATTAAAGCGTCCTACTCCTAGATAGAAAAGATTATTTTATTTTATTATTTTTTTTGCGGAACTGGGGATTGAACTCAGGTCCTTGCGCTTGCCAGGCAAGTGCTTATTCTACTGAGCTATCTCCCCAGCCCAAAAAGATTATTTTAGAAAAAAACAAAAGGAGGGGCCGGGGAGATGGCTCAGTGGAATAAGCGCTTCCTTGGCAAGTGCAAGGGCCTGAGTTCAATCCCTGGCTCTGCAAGAAAAAAAAAAAAGGGCACAAATTTTTCAATGAAGAAAGGAAACTGGTAGTATTAGTGAAACAAATTAGCATTTGTCTTATGTCTTTGAAACAGCAGAGCAGATAATCTGGGGAGTTGCTTGAACTTTCCCTGCTTTGTGTTTTGTTCTTCTGGATAGTTGAAGCTCCAAGTGTCTCAGTGGGGAGTGAAAGGGGATACCCCACTCCCTACCCCCACTCCCCTGGACCATGTTCTGCAACACTGAGTGACCCCTGTGCTGTAGAAACCAGCACTTGGTGCTGTTCATTTCACCCTGAAACCCAGCCTTTCCTTGCCATGAAGTCTGGCAGCGGATTCCCAACTAGGAATCAACTGCTGCTTTGGCATATAGTAGGAGGCTGGCTTCAGCCTGTACTCTCTGTGCTCTGTTATCTGTTAGACTTGGTACTTCCTGCTGTAGGAAGGAGAGTGTTGTGTGCTGCTTGGGTTGTTATGGTGGTACATGCCTGTCATCAGCACTCAGGAGGGAGGCCAGCTTGGGCTTGATAGTGAGTTCAGGACTAGTCTGGACTATGTATGGCAACTGTTTAAAAAAACAAAACAAAACCTGTAAATCAAGCAGGTGCATATTTTCTTTTGTTAAGAGTAATGTGGAACAGGCAGAGGGAAGGGGAAGGGTTTTTATCTGTCAGCCTGTTTTTGCCAACTTCAACTTCTGCACCTTGAACATGGAATCATGACTTCAAAGGATGGTGGAGTTGCCAGCAGGGACAGAAGTGAGGACAGGTCAGGAGAGGCATGAGTTTTTCTATCACTGTCCTTTGCCCTCATCCTGTCCTGTCCCCTGCAAGAACTTGCGGTCCTGCCCTCTGAGTGCATTCGATGAGCCCCGTTGCTCTGCTCCCCACAGATCACCAGTGTGGTCAATCCCGTGCTGGACAAGTGCTTCCCGGCGGACTCCAGTGTACGGATCATAGCCGAACCCGGCAGGTACTACGTGGCATCAGCGTTCACCCTTGCGGTAAACGTCATAGCCAAGAAGCTGGTGCTGAAGGAGCAGGCTGGCTCAGACGGTAAGCAAGTGTGGGCCTTGGCTCTGGGGCTGGAGTGGACCCTGGGCTGGTGCTGAGAGGGCTCTGTCTTCCAGATGAGGAGGAGGCAAGTGAGCCGACTTTCATGTACTATGTGAATGATGGCGTCTACGGCTCCTTCAACTGCATTCTGTATGACCACGCACATGTGAGGCCGCTGCTGCAGAAGGTGAGTCGAGCAATGGGGGTCCCGGGCTGGGGGCCTGTGGGCAGTACCAACAGCTGTGCTGCTCCTTTGCATGCAGAGACCCAAGCCCGATGAGAAGCACTACTCGTCTAGCATCTGGGGGCCTACGTGCGATGGTCTAGACCGAATTGTGGAGCGCTGCAACCTGCCAGAGCTGCACATGGGCGACTGGATGCTCTTTGAGAACATGGGTGCCTACACCGTGGCTGCAGCCTCCACCTTCAATGGCTTCCAGAGGCCGACCATCTACTACGTGATGTCACGACCCACATGGTGAGCAAGGTTTTGGGCAGGAAGAGGCACTGGGTGTGCATGGAATCCCAGTGTCCCAGGAGGCTGAGGCAGGAGGGTCACACGTACAAGCTTGGACAGCTTGGTGAGACCCTGTCTCAAAGGTTGGCATAGCTTGTGGTAGTAATTTGCCTGGCCTGCCCAAGGCCCTGGGCTTTGGTCTTACCTCTATCAAGAAAGACAGGCTGGTTGCATTGTGTTCGCTCCTTTTAAGAATCAACTCATTCTGCCTCTAGTGAAACGAGGGAAATCCCTCCCACTCGCGACGCTGTTCCTGGGCAGCTCCTCACACAGTGCCTGGCCCCAGTACTGGGAAGGTTCTGGGGTGGAGCTTCCTGTGGTATCACACTCTTTCTGCCAACACTGAAACCCTGCTGTGTCCCCTAGGCAGCTCGTGCAGCGGATCCAGAGCCATAGCTTTCCACCCGGGACGGAGGAGCAGGATGTTGGGCCCCTGCCTGTGCCCTGTGCCCGGGAGAGTGAGATGAAGGAGCACGCGGCGGCACGTGCCTCTGCCAGCATCAACGTGTAGCCGCCCCTGAGCGCGGAGCAAGGCTCCAGCAGCTTCATCGCTGCTAGTTCTGGGCGACTTCCTAAGAGTAGGGCTGGCGCGGGTGCAGCCACACAGACTAGGAGACGGGTCACACTTATCAGTGTTCCTATGGAAACTTTGAATATTTGTTTTATATGGATTTTATTCACTTTCACACAATACGAAAGAGGGCCTGCAGCTGCCAAGCAAGCATTTGTAGCTTGTGTCATGGGATTGTGGGCCGAAAGCTTAGTGTTGTGACCTGTTTTACGAATAAAGCATCTTGAAAGAATTTTGGGAGATTGAGCAATGTTTGCAGTCTGCACTGCAGGTGGTATCCGCTGGGGCCTCAGACTGAGGAGGCTGATGGCCTGAGATGGGGTGCAGCCTAGTGCATGCAGAGCCAGCACCAGCCCTAAGGGAGTCACATGGGGGTGGGAGCATGGACCACAACGCCGCACATAGCTGTCCCGACGATAAAGTAGGCCTCAGCAGTGACTGGGAGATCTGCACCTCCCCATCTGGCCTTGGATGTACTCTGCTGATCCCTGCAGCAAAAGCCAAAGCAAAACGTCCTGAGCTCTGTGTGCATGACCAGCAGTCTCAAAACATCCATTGCACTAGGACACCGTGGGAAGACGGAGTCATGAGGCAGCAGAGAGCGGCCAGGAGCAGGGGCCCAACCCTTGGCATCATGTCCAGATGGTGGCCCAGGGCCTGTAGCTAGGCAGTGGGCAGGCTGAGATAAGCTCGGCGTGTTCAGGCAGATGGTGAGGCCACCTGGAGGCTGCTTATCACCTGCCCCTGGCAGCTGCTAAACAGCTAGAGGTAACAGCCAGAGCCTGGCAGGACAGGAGGCTTGGTGCAGGTCCTGCCCTCAGGCTGCAAGGCTTAGGCAGGAGGACAGCCTCCGGTACCCCTATTCTGTTGGGGGTGGTGGTGTCAGCTCTGCCCTCAGGCAGGAGGGTCTCTGCCCTTGGTGAGGGGACTGTAAGACCCAAGGTAAGAGGAGGGCCAGGGGACCGATAGGTGCCCTCTCCCAGGAGGGTGCAGCAGATGGTCAGCCCCAAGTGCCGCAAGCCCCAGTTTCCTTCATGACCCAGGCCAGCGGCAGATGGTCCCTGGGTAAGATTGGGCTCGTAGATGTGCAATACCTGTGACAGTTCAGGCTCTGCAGCTCTACCGCCCCTCACCTGGGCAGGCCCAGCTGTGCCCTCACAGAGGTGCCCAGATTTAGCAAGTAGAAGTACATTGCATGGACGTGCAAAAAGTTATGGTTTCTCTGCAGTGTCCACCCCCTGGGCCCCTTGGGAGGGCCTCTATGCAGTGTACCCCCCCCCCCCATCAGGCTCCTGTCAAAGGTAACGACAGGGCTGGGCCCTGGGAGGGGTGCCTTCCCAAATGTAGCCACTGGGGGGCAGCAGTGCCTCGTGTTCAAGATGCAGCCCAGTCAGTGCCCCAGCCCTAGCACCTGTGCCTCACAGGTTTTGGGTGGTGGGGCAGGGGTGGGGGCAGGCGGCTCATCTTGGGCCATGTCCTGATGGTGTCACCTGCCTCCTATATATCCATCATCCACTCACCTTCTGCCCATCTACCCCTCCACCCATGCCAGGGGCCATGGGATACGCAGCCTGACCCAGAGCCCTCTCCCCTAGGAGCTAAGTGTACATGAAGCCTTGCTCAGGTATAAATTCTTTCCACCCATCTGTCCATCGCCCAGCCACCCCCCACACCCCCTTCCCTGCCCTGCACACACAGCTCTCATGCCCAGCTCCATCCACAGACTGTTCTCGATGGCAGCCACAGCCTTCCACAGGACCACCAGGGTGGCCTTTGCCAGCCCGGCAGTGTGGTCAAGAACCTACACCCATCACCTGGCCTGCGGCTCAGTGACTGGGCATGGGGCAGCATCACCAGGAGGTGCCGGCCAGGCCCCACGATTCTCCTGGCAGACTGGGCATGAGGTCCCCAGAGGTGTGAAACCACCACAGTCACCAGGCTGCTGCCTGCCCAAGGCCTGCTGAGCACATGCAGAACACATGACCTGGATGTGTCATGTGTTCTTGGCCTGCCCACAAGGGACCACCAGGCTGCCAGGAAGCCAGGGATGGACAGGGAAAGACCTATCCTCAGCGACAGGTGCGCTGAGTTGGCCCAGCGCAGGATGTATGACTTCTGGGCAGGGGACAGATGTTCCACAGGGACACCTGCTGGGGTACTGCAGGAGGGGACAGCAGCAGGGACAGGCCTCCTTGGATGTGATCCTCACACTGAGAGTTCCCTCAGTGTTTCCACAGTGAAGTGGTGCAAAGGCTGTAACCTGGGACACACAAAACTCACAGGACTCACTTATTTGATCATTTTAATACCAGAAATGCCAGACCAATCGACACGAAGGATGATCACAGCTGTCTGCACGCAGGGCCACACGGCCCTGCCCCGGCCAGCATGCATCTTTTCGGCACGGGGTGGGCGAGGCAGAGACCACGGACAGCCATGGGCCATGGGACCATGCTGCAGGGCCAGGAGCTTTAAATAGGGGACCTAGCGTCACACCTCACGCCAGCAGACACATAACTTACATGTGAAAAGAAGGACCACAGGTGATGTGAGCAAGCCTTTGGTCACAGATGGACAAGGGGGTGGGCCATGCTCGGGAGGGAGGGCTTGCCTGTCTGCGCTCCGTCCCCTTTGTCCCCACCCGGCAGTGCAAAGTCACCTCGGTGGCAGCCTACGTGCTCCCGGAAGCCCTGCACAGGGCCCCATCCCCAGGGGTTGGTGGGAGGGGGTGGCTTGCTAGTCAGGCGGAGGAGAGAGGCACAGCCCGGGCAGGGCCATGTGTCAAAGGGCAGGGACCGCCGAGGGTGGTGGTGGTGTCTGCTTTCGCAAGCAAAGCTGAGAGCACAGGATGAGCCTTGGTCTTTGGGCGTCCCCTGCGCAGTGTCATGTCCCGAGCCTCAGAACTGGCTGGCGCTGCTGGGGTCACACTGCAGCAGCCGCACAATGGAGGGGTCACTCTTGGCACCTTTGATGAACTCTTCCAGGGACAATTTGCCTGCAGGGCAGAGACAGCAGACATGGGGATCAGCAGGGCTCTGGGGCCTTTGTGCTTCCAGAGAGGATGTGAGACGGTGTGAGGGTTCACACTGTCATCCCAGCACTCAGGAGGCTGAAGGTGGAGGACTACCCAAGTTCAAGGCCAGCCTGGGCTCCATAGTGAGACCCTGTCCCCCAAAACAAAAGAAGATGGGGCTGCGAGGAGGTCGGGGCCAACGTCTTGCATCTTCTTGTTCCCACTCCTAGTGCATTCATGAAAGACAAAACAGCACAGCACTAACACCCCTTTAGCTTCGGCTGCTCTCTGCAAAGCGCCGGGCAATATCAAGTTTCTTCTCAGCAGTGCCTGAGAAGATCTGCGGAGAAATCACCCCACACCATTTAAGAAATCTATGAAGCTGGGCATACTGGTGCTTGCCTGTAACCTCAGTGCAGAGGGAGGCTGAGGTAGAAGGATTGCGAGTTCGAGTTCAGCTGGCAATGTAGTTATTGGTGTGACCCTATCTCAAAATAAGAAATATGGGCAGGGGATAGCTTGGCAGTCTAAGCACCTGCCTGGCAAGTGCGAAGACCGGGGTTCGGTCCCTGGTACCACATGCCCTGCTGGCCCCACTGTGCTGGCCTCTGAAACCCGGCATGGTGGTGCACACCTGTAATCCCAGCACTGGGAAGGCTGAGACAAGAGGATCACTATGAGTCTAAGCTGCATTGGGAGACCTTGTATCAAATACATAAATAAAAAAGAAAAATGAAAAAGAAAAGAAATAAAAGACTAGGGATGGAGTTCTGTGTGGTATGCCCACCCTGGGTTCCTTCCCCAGAACCAGCAACAAGCCAGAGAAGGAGGGACAGAGTGGGAGCACTGGCTCCTAGCCACTTGCTGGCGGGGGTCTCCCCAAAGCGCAGCTTTCCTCTAGTGCGGGGAGCCGCCGTGCCCCACCCTGCTCCCTCTAAACACAAGACAGCTGAGTTGCGGCACTGAGGTGCTGCAGAGCTGTGACTCTGGAGCAGGCGCTGGTGCAGTGGCTGTCCCTCCAGGACACAGGTGGGGCCCCGAGTTCTGGGTGCAGGGGCAGGACCCAAGAGCCGGACCGCAGGCTAATGACAGCAGTGATGACAGGGTTCCCACGATTGTTCTCTTTCTGTTTTTCTTCTTCCCTTTTCTTTCCTCTCTCTGGTTTGGGCGGGGCTCTAACTCTGGATCCTCCTGCCTCAGTCTCCCAAGTAAGATTACATGTGTGTACCGCTACACCTGGCTTCATAGTGTTCTCTTCTCTCTCTCTCTCTCTCTCTCTCTCTCTCTCTCTCTCTCTCTCTCTCTCTCATATACTGGGCAATTCAATACTCCAGGGACTTTAGTCTGAGCTACATACCTACATCTGTTTTCATTTATTTCTTAGTTTTAGACAGGATCTTTCTAAGTGTCTAAATTGCTAGAAGTTTTGATCCACCTCAGCCTCGAAGAGTGCTGGGATCACAGGTGCGTGGCATCACCCTTGGCTATGAGAGCGGATCTCGCTCCCTCGCTCTGTGCAGTTGCGTGGAAGCCCTGCTCTTCCCGCGGGGCTCCCCCTTTAACCCAGCGTACTTAACACTCCGCACGTACTTTCCTGTGCAACAGTTTTAATCTCAGCACAATCCAAGGAGCATTTTTATTTCCTCCCTTGGGTCTTGCTATGTAGCCCAGGTTGGCTCCGAACTTTTGATCCTCTCGCCTCAGCCTGCCAGGTGCTGGAATTACAGGTGTGTACTGCCACCACACCGGGCTATAAGACCAGACCTTCTGCACAGCAGTGTGGCCTGAGTCCAGGCAGAAGGGGTGGCCGTGTACTTCCTGATGGGTCCCCCAGACTTGAGGGCATCTGAGGAGACTCATGTCTCAGGGTGGGAACAGAGGGGCGCTGGCAGCTTCCTAGGATCCTGAGGCCCAGCCCCTTGTGACTTAGGGGCCACTAGCACGCATGCCCCGCCCCCAACATGCTCAGGAATATGGTACCCATGACAAGAAAGGTGCCCCTGGGCCCTGGCACCCTACCATCATTGTTGGTGTCCATCTGTCTGAAGATCTTGTCCGTCCGCTTCTCTGGGGTAGACTCATCCTCTGGCATCTTCATCACAGACGACACCATTTTGTAGATGGCCTGCAAGAGCGACAGGGCACTGAGGCCTGTGGGGCAGCAGGGACAAGGGGCAGCAGGTTGGCACCTCGTGGGCTCCCTGCTGGCCCAGCACAGCCTCATTACTACAGCCCTGGGCCACAGCTCAGCCTGCATTGGGCTCCCATGGAGCCACCTTATGCCTTCTAGTGCTACACGGGTCCCTAGGGACCTGGAGCCAACCTGTGGCCGTGGCGGCAAGGACATGCTTGGGACATGAGCCAGCTAAGCTTAGCCACTAAGAAACCAAGACCAACACTCACTTCACAGGGCTCAAAGATGGGGCTGATTGAGGCCTTCACCTAGCATTCAGCAAAGGATTGGTACATGCAGGGTTTTTTTGGCTTTGCTTTGCTTTTGGTTTGTTTTTAGAGACAGGACTTTGACATGTATTTTAGGCTGGCCTCGAGCTTGCCGTGATCCTCCTGCCTTTACCTTCTGAGTGCTGGGATCCCAGGTATGCACTACCATGCCTGGGTTTTTTTTTTTTTTTTTTTTCTTTTAGGCAGTCCTGGGGACTGAGTGACATCCCAGCCCTTTTTTTACTTTGAGACAAGGCCTTGCTAAATCACTTAATTGCCCAGGCTGTTTGACTTGAGATCCTCCTGCCTCAGCCTGCCAAAGTACTGGGACAACAGGCCAGTGTTACCATGCCTGCCTCAATGGTGGCTTTTAGCAAGGCCTTTCCAGCCAGGTTGACACTGACCCCTCTCAAGGGGGCGCCAGTGGCAACTGGGCCCAGGCACTCAGGTACAGGGCGGGGCACGGCCTCTACCTGCACGATCTCCAGCATCTCGCTGCGGCTGATGTAGCCGTTGCCGTCCAGGTCATACATGCTGAAGGCCCACTTGAGCTTCTGCTCGAGCTTCCCACGAGACGTCACGCTCAGCGCGATGATGAACTCCCGGAAGTCGATGGTGCCGTCACCGTTGGTGTCGAAGGTGCGGAAGACGTGCTCGGCAAACTTGGAGGCGTCGCCATAGGGGAAGAAGTTGGCGTAGATCTTCTTGAACTCATCCACGGTCAGGTGGCCGGTGGGGCAGTCCTTGAGGAAGCCCTTGTACCACTCCTGCAGCTCGTGGTCGGTGAACTCTGTGTTCTCACGCAGGTCCTGCAGCACCTCTGGCCGCAGCTTGCTGTTCTGCTTGCCCATGGTGGTCAGTGACTGCGCCTGGAAGACACGGGCAGCTGAGGACACTGTGGGTTCAGATGGCCCAGCAATGTCCTGAGTGTCCTCTTCCATAGGCTGAAGGGACCTAAACAAGCCTGTCACAACGCAATCCAGGGTGGCCTTGAACCTGCTGCAATTCTCCTGCCTCAGCCTCCTGAGTACTAGGATTACAGGCATGTACCCGACAGGATGCACCTACCCCAGCCCTGCCCAGCCCCTCCCCCCAGGCAAGACCCTGTCTCAAAAGTTTCGCATTAAATATAAATGCAGGACATCCCCCACTGGCTCTTCAAATTTCCCTGGGACTTGGAGTGACACCTCTACAGTGTACTCTGGAAGGTCTGACAATGTCCTGACTTTTTGGCAGCACTGGGGACTGAACCCACGGCCTTTGTACTGAGTGATCCCCAGCCCTTTGTTTTGACACTGAGTTTCACTAAGTTGCTAAATTACCTGGGCTGGGCTTGAACTGGTGACCCTTCTGCTTCAGCCTTGCAGAATGCTAGGATTATAGAACTGTGTCACAGAAACTCAATTAAAAAGATAAAATAACTGATGCCACACTGGGTTCCTGGTGGCTGAGGCCAGCGTATGTGACAATCAAACTGCCTGACTGGCTTGGGATGCACCAAGGGAAGGGGTGAGGCTCACTTTTGGGCCTGTCTGGGGTCATAGGAGAGTGACTTGGCGTCCACATCTGGCCCCTCCCCTTGTGCTGTGTCTGTTACACTGGCCACCTTGATGTAAGTGGCTTTGCTGCCCCATGCCCTCCCGCCATGATGCTCCTGCCTCGGAGCCACAGGCCATGGACTGAACCCCCTATATCATGAGCCAGGTCCAACCTCTCCTTTGTGGTCTCAGCCCCCGGAAAGCTGGCTATACACTGTGGCTCGCAGGCAGGCTGCGGCATAGGCATGCTGGTCCAGAGAACCCCAACAGATAAGGCAGGACAAGATGTCCTTGAAACTTTGTCTAAGGTGCATGCTGGGGCTGCTGCCCAGTAAAAACACAGGAAAGCCAGCCGAGTGGCACATGCCTGCCACCCCAGCACTCTCAGAGCCTGAGGCAGGAGGATCGAAAGTAGCCCGGCCTACCTGGCAAGACCCTGTTCAAAATGAAAGCCCTGCACTGACTATAAAGAAGCTCACGAACAGCAATGGAAAGTGCCGGCCTTGCAGGCCATCAGTCACCAGGACAAATCCCGGTGGAATATTTACTACAAAGCAGCTCACCTTTGCTCTTCCGGAAGCTCACAGGCCTGAAGCAGGTAGGCTTGGGGACCCAGAAGTGAGCTGTGCAGTGTGGTGCGGTGCCCCCCGCACCCCTGGCATTAATGAAGCAAAGGGCTGCTGAGCGCGGCGCAGCTGTCTGGGCCTGGCCGCCCTCTCTTTGGCTCAATGCCAGAGCAGAAGCCAGGTGCACACAAGGCAGGGCGGGTGACACCTGCACGCTCAGCAAGGGGCAGGCAGGGCTGGGGCTCTGTCACTGTCCTGAATGTTCTAAACTGTAAGGGATAAAGGAAACGCAGAGCTGAAGAGCTCTAGGTGAACATTTAATCCGAAGCTGGCACTGCCGCCAAGTGAAAGCCTTTTTAATGGCTTGGTGACTCTAGGGTTCCCGGGGCCCCAGGAGGCGACCATCTCCTGCTCAGCGCTGCAGGCTCGACTCCCATCCCACCCATTCGCTCCCAGGCAATGGTAGCCCACATCTGCCACCCTGGCATGGGGGAGGCTGAGGCAGGAGGATTGCACTAAGGGTCAGGGCCCAAGAACAGGCCATCGAGGCGCCTGCTACGTGCTTGAGCCTCAAGGCAGCAGAGGGCTGGAGTGTGAGGACACACCTGACACGCCCTCCTCTCACTGCAACCCTCCTGCCTCAGCCTCCTGAGCGCTGGAAGGACAGGAGGGTGCTACCACGCCCAGCCTCAATCATATCTTTAAAATGACTCAAGTTTCCTTTTTCCTCCCGAGCTCTGGCCTTCCATAGCCTCACTTCCTGGAAAGGGGCGGGTCCCAAGGAACTGGGGTAGCCGGCAGAGGGACCTGGGGCCAGGCAGGCTGCAGTGCGCCCTGGGAGACACTAGAGGGCGCAGGAGAACAGTCTACCAGTCCTGCGCTGAGGAGCCGCCCCTGCCCACACCCCCAACCGCTCTGCTGCAGAGGGCCTCGGTTTCTCATCCATAACCTAGGACTGCACTGTACGCGGGCCCCCAAACCACGTGCAGCTATCGACCTTTTACAACGTGGCCAGTCTGGACCCACACGGATCCACTGTAAATACTGGAGTTTGATGATTTTCTTTTACTTTTTGAGACATCTGTGGGAGGCGTGAGGCAGGAGGTATTCTAACCACCTGGGCATTTTATAATCCAAACAAACTGATGAATCTTGCTTAATAATCAGGGAACCGTACAGAACAATACATAGGAGCACGAAACAAAGGGATAGATTAACAAAAGTAGGCCGAGGGGAGAAGCAGTTAGAGGAAAGAAGATCCCATCCATCCCTAGGAATTCAGATTCAGGACTACAGGGGCGGTTCAGATGGAGCAGGATGGAGGAAGGAGATGCCGGGAGTGATACGGCGCGGACTGGCACGAGTGGGCATCAGTGAGGAGCACAGTCAGCATAACTCCAGAAGCATGTTCCTGTCCCTACCGGAGGTGTGGCCCGATCACGGATCACCAGCTCTTCAAGAGCCCCTGGCTCTGAGCGCCCCTTGGGGCTCCAAGCGAAGCCGCAAGCTAAGTGCCTTCCCTTCCGCTTTGTTCACAGCGCCTGGGGCAGAACCAGCGCAGCAGGTGCTCAGAGAGGCTGGGGGACAGGAAGCCAGGATGGGGCTCTGGCTGCACACCGCATCTGCAGTGCACGGGGATGTCCACGGTACGGAGTGTGTGAACGCACATGCGTGTGCGCATGTCAGGTGTGATCGACACATGAAGTGAATGTTTCCGCTAAGAAGTTATTACAGCAAAAGATGCATCACCACGAATCCCGTCCTCCTGCCCTCGCTTCTACCACACTAGTTCCCATCCTCATTGCTGCTTTCTGCAGCAGCTCTGGCACCCTCTTTCTTGAGGGTCTTTAGCTGCATTGTCCGGGCTGCCTCCCTGTCATGAATGGATTCGAAATGTTTCCCTCTCCAGATCACTGTGACTTTGGGGAGAAGCCAGAAGTCACAAGGTGCCAGATCTGGTGACTGAGATGGGTGACAACTCAGCGCTGTGCTTCTTGAGCTGCCTTTCTGCTTGATGGCGCTCAGCAGCAGCATTCACTGTGCTTTTGAGCATACCTCCTAGACAGGAAGGAGGACTCCAGAGCTGCTGCAGAAAGTGGCAAAGACAGGGGCTGTGGGGAGATAGCTCGGTGGTATAAGTGCTTGCCTGGCAAGCGCAAGGTCCTACAGCAAAAAACACACTGCTCCTTAGCTCCTTAGCAATGTGGTTTTTTTGCTATAATAAGGACTTTTGTTTTTTTTTCCTTTTTGAAACAGGCTTTCACTACGCAGTTCAGGCTGGCCTTGAGCTCACTTTGTAACCCCAGATTGGTCTCAAACTCTCGATGATCCTTCTGCCTCAGCCTCCCAAGTGCTGGGATTACAGGCGTGCACCACCATCCTTGGCCTTAATAAACTCTTAAAAATGGAGTATGCACCGTATTTTGGGCATACCTGCATGTGCCTGTCCATGCTGCCCATGTACTGCGTGTGCGCGTGCTGGGGCCAGAGGGAGCGGCTTGCAGGAAGGGATACTGCAAAGTCATCCAGGGGTGCCTCACCATGGGGAGCGCTCTCCCTTCCTGGGGCCCAAGGCAGGCCACAGCTGGACCCCAGGGGGAGGTAAGCTCAGGCTGCACCTTGCTGAGGAAGCCTGGCTCTCCAGCCTCTCAGCCCAACACGTTCTGGAGGAGCTGGACCAGAAGCTCTTCTCACCGAGGGGCAGCCCACCCACGCCCCCAGGAGGGTCGGGCTCATCTCCTCCCTCCAGCCACACTGGCCCTTGGCTGCGCCGTGCGCGGGCCCACTGCAGTCCGCACAGACTGCCCCTGACAGAGCTCTGGCAATCACCTCCCTGGGAGGCCCTCCATGCACCTTCCATCCACAGCGGCGGGCTCAGTGCACATCCTTCATCCCTTCCGCCAACTTCAGAGGCCTCAAGGGCCCCCCCGCACCCCCATCTGCTCCCACTGCCAGCCTTGCCAGGTCCTGTGCAGCTGCGAGGTAGGGCTGGGAGCTGAGTGTGCAGGTGGTGCCCAGGGCCGGCCCAGATGCAGTCTCTGCCTGCCAGCTCCGGCAGGGCTGGGGGAAAGGAAAGGAGGAAACGGCTCCTGCCAAGTGCTCCTGTGTCTGCTTCCTTTTCTCTGAAGCCCTTGGGCTGGAACCCAGGCCTTCTCACGGAGGGACCTCCCCCATCCCCTTATGCTTTATTTTGAGATGGGATCTAAGTTGCTAAATTGCCCAAGCAGGCTCAGTCTTGAGATCCTCTTGCCTCAGCTTCCTCAGTGTGCTCCACCCCACCCAGCTTCTTTTCTTCGGTCCCCTCCTGCTAATCTGACCTGAGGCAGAGGTCTCTCCCTGGGCGTCAATTTCCTCAGTCAGGGGAGACACCCGCTTGGCTGGAAAAGCCACTCCACCCAAGGAAACTTGGCAGGGTGCACCGTGTCCCCGGATATCTCAGCTGCAGTCACATGGGTGGCAGGAACCTGGCACCAACCCCGTGCCCCTCCACACTGCTACCTCGGAAATTAAAGTGGACCTGATATGTCAACAGGTCCCCAAGCAGAGGCACCAAGAGTGGGACAGCCCACCCAGAAAAACCAAGAACTGACTGCAGCCCAACACCGAGCCTCAGTTTCCCCATCTGTCCCCAGGGCATGCTGGGCAGCCTGGTCACACCGCTGTCTCCTCTGCTCTTTCTGCAGAGCTTAGCCAAGCCCGCAGCATGGAAGAAGCCACCTCTGCACTTACATTCCCACTCAGCCCTGAGGCCTGGCGTGGTCACTTACCTGGGGTAGAGCGGAGTGCAAGACACAGCAGGGGTCAGAGGCTCCGGGCTGGCACGCAAGTGCAGCGAGCAGCTAGACCATGCCCCTGGAAGACAGGACATGGGTTACTCGGGTCACACTGTCCCCCCACCTGCTCTGCCACACCTGCTTGGGACCAGCAGGTGAGGCTCTGGTCCCAGAGAGTCCGTGGGCTGCTAGGAAGGAATGCATGCTCCAGTTCAGATCCTGGACTGCAGATTTCCTCCTAGCCCCATTGCTGAGCCACATGGGTCCCTGGCCACCAGCTTTCCAGTGATAGATAAAGATGACACGTTTTTTTGTTTTGGTTTTATTTTGTGGCCAGCTCAGCCCACCCTGGGGGTAGGGCTGGTACTGCATGTGGTACTGGGGATCAAACCATGGTCCCTGTGCTTGCCTAAGCAGGTGCTTTAGACTGCTGCGCCATCTTGCCAGCCGCAAGATTGTTGCAGGCGGTCCGAGTTAGATACAAAATTGTAGGCAGTCAGACAGGGTCAGGCCCTCGAAGGAAATGACAACAGCCAGGCACCCTACAACTCTGGGAAGGATGGAGGCCCCTGCTGTAAATCGAACCTAAAGACTGGCATCCAGGATTGATCATTACTCAGAAAGAATTATGGTCTGAAGGCCTCCCGATAAGGTCCCGTTTTACATTCATACCCGCTTGCTGCGTGACTCGCTACCCCATTTGGTCCTGGGCCTAATCAATTTTACCTGACCAAATGGTGCTTGTAATCCCATTCGTTGACCATAGTTTAGTCCCACCCTGCATCCGTCTAAGGGAGACCCCTTTGTCTCTACCTCAGCCCCGCATGGTTTTACACTATAAAAGTCCCTGGAAGAAACAGCTTCCTGGGCAACCCGCTCAGGTGCCCCTTCTGTCCCTCTCCAACAGAAGCTTTCCTTTCCAATAAAGTTTTACCCTCAACCTCCGTTTGTTCCTAAAATTCATTCTTCAGTTTTAGAGAACACGAACTCATCCAGGCCAGGTTGGGAATTTCACGTCCCTATATCAAGATGACAGTTATTGCGGAGCCTTGGTCCACGGAGTGGGAGCCATGCAGAAATAATTATGCTGAGTTGTGTCTGCTTGTTCCTGATTTTGGTCTTGCGACTGTTTTACACATGGCCAGCCTCTTCCTCACCTGCGAGGCGGGGGCCTGAATGACTCGTGCAGAACCCGGCGCGGACGCCATGGCTGTCACTCCTCGGGCCAGCATCTGCGAGTGAAGGCAGGGTGCTGCCTGACACCAGGCCAGCCCCAGCTCCTGGCGCGCTCCTGTACAAGTGGGACCTCTGGGACGAGTCCTAGGATGTGACCAGGTCCCCAGCGCCTGTTACAGTTGGCCAGAGTCAGAGAGCACAGGGTCACGTAGCTAGGGACCTCAAGTCACGCAGAGCCGTGGCCCTCCCCCCTTCCTGACGTGTGACCTGGGCCTATAATCTCATTTCTTCCGCTTTCCCTTTCCACACTTGCAAAGTGAAGGCAATAATACCACCTCGTTCACTGAGCTTTCGTGAAGATTAAATGAGCTAATGTGTACGCCAAAGTGAGCGATACACACTAGGGACTCAATACAGCCATGACAGCTGGGCATGGTACAGCAGCTGGGAGGCTGAGGCAGGAGGATCGCGGGAAGTCCAAAGCCAACCTGATCTACAAAGCAAGACCATGTCTCAAAGAACTGAAAAACAACAATAACCAAAAAAAAGAGGACATACAAGGGGCCAACAGGCCCAAGCCAAGATGCTCCCAACATCAAATTTCTAAGAAAATGTTACTGAGAAGCACAGTGAGATATCACTCCAAGCTCACAAACATATTGCAAATTAAAAAGTTAGATCAATTCATGTGTTAGCAAAGATTTGGGAAAACCAGAAGCCTCCCACGCTGGCTGGTAGGAATGTGGAGCGGTGTGGCTACTTTGGGAAGCAGCCTGGTTAAGCAGTTACCATATAACCCAGCAACTCTCCACCTAGGAGAAAAGAAATAAGTCCAGGAGAAAGAAAACGCATGTCCCCACACACTTGCAATTAGCTGCGTTAGAAGAGTACAAAGGGTAGAAACCAAATGTTCATCGAAGGATAAATGAAATGTGGTATGTACACACAATGGAACTTTTATTTTGTCTTTCTGAGAAAGGGTTTCACTATGCAGTTCAGGTTGGCCTTGAGCTCACTTTGTAGCCCAGCTGGTCTTGAACTTGCAACGACCTTCCTGCCTCAGCCTCCCAAGTGCTGGGATGACAGGCATGCGCCACCACACCTGACCCACACAATAGAATATTATAGAGCCATGAAAAATAGAAAGCTATACGTATATGTTGCCATATAGACATGTCTCAAAACACAATGCTAAATTAAAGAAACCAGGCACAAAAGGAAAAATGATGTGCAGTTTCACCTGTATAAAATATTCAGGCAGCCCAGGCATATAGCTCAGCAGCATACGGGCCTGCCTGGCGAGCACAAGGTCCCAAGTTTGATTTCTGGTACCAAAAAATAAATAAATACTTTTTTTTTACTTTTGTGGTACCAGGGATTGAACTCAGGACCTTGTGCTTGCCAGGCAATAAATACAATATTCAGGCAGGAAATATATAGAATCAGAAGATAAACTAGTGGCTCCTTAGGACTGAGGAATAAAAAAAGTAGATGTGGTTTTGAGTTTATAAAAGTATTTTAACATTGTGGTAATGGCTACATATGCTTGTAAATATACCGAACAAATAATCTGTGTATTTACGTTAAATGGCTAAATTATAGCAGATACAAATCACATTTCCATAAAACTTTTTAAAAAGTAACGATCTTGGTCAGTATCCTACCACTTTACCCCAGAACACAGAAAGGCAAAGGGCAGCCTCAGGGGGAAGAGGCCTAATGCCAGGCTCTTCAGCAGGGGACACCAGGCTCTTGTCATCCCTGATGAGATGGGTGGGCAGCGCCAACGCCACTGGCGGGCAGCACCTGGGCGCCTCCTACCTGGCGATGTTCCCACAGAAAAGAGTTCCCAGCAGAGGGCCCAAGCGTCGGTCAGCTGCGGGGCGCGTCCCCACCCCAGCTCCTCCACAGCGGCCACCGTGCTGACTGGCCAAGCCTCAGCGCAAGCGGCCGGAGAGGCCGCCTCCTCCAGCACCCAGCGGTCTCATGTCCATACAAGAGCATTATTTTTATTTTTATTTTTATATTTGGTACAGGGTCTCACCACGTAGATCGCACTCTTAGTGATTCTCCTGTTTGCAGTCTCCCATGCGCTGGGATTACAGGCGCGCCACCCCGCCCAATCTCAATCGCCATCTCAGCACACGGGGCTGGCACCACAGGGATCGAACCTGTGGTTCAGCTCTGCCTAAGCGGTATTTTTTTTTAAATTTTATTTATTTGTGTGTGTGTGTGTGTGTGTGTGTGTGTGTGTGTGGCCAGCTCAGCCCACCAGGGGGCGGGGCTGGCTGGCATGTGGTGCTGGGGGATTGAACCGCGGTCCCTGTGCTTTGCTAAACTTGTTCTAAGTAGGTGCTTTAGACCACTGAGCCATCTCACCAGCCCCTAAGCAGTATTTTAATGTATTCTAAAACCCTACTTAAGTAGGAATCACTGGGGCCAGGGAGATGGCTCAGTAGAATATGCACACAAGGGTCTGAGTTCAATTCCTGGTTCCGAGAAAAAAAAAGTAGGAATCAACGCATTTTAGGGAGAAAAAGGTGTCACTGGATCTGCGAAGGGAATAAGAACCACTTAGCTGATTGGTGGCGCAACGACCCAGTTCTGGGTGTGTCTGAAGGTGACTGACACAGGCCAGGCAGGAGACCCGCCCCGGAAGTGGGTGGCACCAGCCAATAGGAGTGTAGCCTGGGTAGGCCTAAAAGGAAAAAAGCAGGCTGTAGCCTAGTGCAAATATGCGACTGTGGGCAGGCAGCGGAGGTTGAAAATGTCATCTAGAGACAGGCTCCATCTACTGGGCGGCCCCCAAGCGGCTGCTTCTCCACCAAGAGCGCCCAGTCATTCGGGAGACTCTGGGAGAAGAAAAAAGCCACCAAAGCTGAGAACTCCCTCAATTTTATTTAGAATAACAATGTAAGAGAAAAATGCAGGAGAAAAGCATTTTGGGCCAGGAGCTGTCTCAAGGCCGGGCAGTTTTCTTTGGGAAAGTGGAACAAATGGCCACACACAACATGCTTCACTTGTTTAACCATTAGATTCTCACCCAGCCTGGGTGATTTTTGCCCCCGTTCAACCATTCATTCCTAAGAGAATGGATTGAACTCAGGACCTTGCACTCGCCAGGCAGGCGCTTATGCCCTGAGCTGTCTCCCCAGCCCCAAGACTGTGCTTTTTGGCCACAGTTTAACCATTTAGTCCTCCTCCGATAGCCATCCTCAAATTTTCACTATGCTCTCTGGACATCCATCCCACTTCTTCCACCTTCTCCCACCGGAGGGAAGCTCAGGGAGCTGGGGTCCTTCAGCCAGACTGCGTGAGGGCCTTGTTCATTGTGGCTTCCAGCCTTGAGGGCCCGGGACAGCCTTGGGGGTCTCTGCCACCTCTGATCCTGTGAGCAATCTAATCCCTTCACATAAACATGCATGTTTCCTATTGATTTCATTCCTCTAGAGAAGCCTAACCCAGGATATGAAGTCAGAGATGGATGGTTCAGGATTATGACTAATTCTGAGGAGACTGCGGTTTAAAAATGACTTATTCTACCACAGTCCCCAGGAAACAGGCGCAGTTGTGTCCAGAATACTGTCTTTGGTTGTACTCCCTTGGCTGCCTTGATGTCCTGAATGGATGCAAAACGTTTCCCTTTCCTGGTCATTGTGACTGTGGGGACGCGCCAGAGGTCACAGGGTGCCAGATCCAGTGACCAAGGTGGGTGAGGACAGTGTCACTTCGTTATGAGCTGCTGTTCTGTTGGGTGGGATTAGGCAGCAGCAGTCACTACACTTTTTTTTATCACCTTGGTAAAAATCCTCAGGAAGGAGGGCTCCAGAGCTGCTCCAGAAAGTGGTAATGCCGACGGGATGAGCACGTTTAAAGCGAGGGGATATTTTGAGGGAAATTTATGGTCATGTATCTTTTCCTGTAATAATTTTTAAAATTCAAACAGCCACCATATCATGGGGTCACACCCCACATGTCCACCCCACCCGTGGGTTCATGAAAGTTCACAGCTGTGTGATTCACACCAGTGCCAACCTGGAAAACACCTGAACATCCATCGACATGCAGAGGGTAAGCAACACGGGACAGTCACACAGTGATCCCCAATGACACACAACAGAGAACAGAATCTCACAAACACAACATCCAGTGAAGCCGCTGGAAACAAAAGCTTCACACTCTCAGTCCAGGCTGCTGTCACAGAGCCACAGAGCGGGAGGCTCAAATGCCACACAAAGCCAAGTCCAAGATCAAGGAGCTGGCATGGCTGAGAGCCTCTGAGGGACAGATGGCGCCTTCTTGGTGGTCCTTGTGGGAAGGTAGCAGGGCTCACCCTCCTCCTGGAAAAGGGCACCAATCTCAGCTCGGGGTTCTACCTGCATGACTTGACTTATCTCCCACAACCCGCATTGCATTGTGCATTAGGGTTGCCACATCAGCACTTGGGGACACCAGTGATGGGCCCCAGGTGACGTGGAGCTGGCCTCTCAGCAGCACCTGGTTCCCACCTGGTTCAAGTGAGGACTTAGGACTTTTCTCTTGCTGAGAAAGCGCTGAGCAGGTGGGTGGCGCTTGCAAGCCGGGGTGAGGGGCCTTTGTTTCACTCTAAGCATAGAAGTTATGGGAGAACTTGTCTTTAAAATGTATTTTAGCACAGGGTCTACAGGGTCTCATTCATTACACAGATCGAACTTGCAGCGGTTCTCTTGTTTTCAGCCTTCCAAGCGCTGGGATTACAGGCATGCACCACCACACCCAGTCTCAACTGCTGTCTCAGTGCGGCCCCCAAGCAGAGCCTGCACAGCACACTGGGGATCAAACCCCGGTTCCTGTGTCTGCCTAAGCAGGCACCTTAATCTGCTGAGCTATCTGGCCGGCCCTAAGACTACAAAAACACCAGGATAGGCACAGTGGTGCACACCTATACTTTTGGTACTCAGGAGGCTGAGGCAAGAAGATCATCATGAGTTTGAGGCCAACCTGGCCTACCTATGGAAACCCCATCTCAAAAACAAAAACAGTTGAGGGCAGGCCAAATAGCTCAGCGGATTAAAGCGCCAGGGGGCCAGGGGCTTCAATCCCCAGGCCTGCCATGCCAGCCCCACCCCTGGGGTGTGCTAAAATGGCAATTGAGACTGGCTGTGGTGGTACGCACCCGTAATCCCAGCACTTGGGAGGCTGTAAACAGGAGAATCACTGAGTCTGATCTAGTACTGAGACTCTGAACACCCTGTAGACCTTTCTCTAAAAAAAAGTAACAAAACACCAGGCATCTGGCCTGGACCTCAAGGCAGAAGTGAGACCTTGAGGTCACCCCTCTGTCACAGGGTGGGGTTATGGGCAGGACATTTCCAAATGCTATGTTTTCTGAGACTGGGAAGGTAGATCCTTCACTCAAAACTCATGGCAGGACCAGGAATGGCCTGCTGCTCACAAGCAGGATTCTTGGGACCCTGCCCCCCCAGGCCTGGGCCACTGCCCCTCCCAGCATAGCTGTTCCCACGTCTCCAGGCCTAAAAAGCCAGCTCTGTACCTGAGGCACCCTAGGCCCTCAGGTTCCAGAATAGAAAAAAATGACTCTTTGCCAACATCCAGGCCAGGGGGGCAGCCACTGGAGACACAGATGGCCTACAGGGCAGGAACAGTCACTCCCAACCCATCCGATCCAGCACTTCCTGTTTTGGGGAGCTCCCAGTCTGGAATCAGGCATGTTATCAGGAGCTATCTCCACCAAAGAATAGGCTCAGATTTTTTCTTTTTTGGTTGGAGGATAAAACCCAGGGCCCTCACACTGAGCTAGATCCCCAGCCCTTTTTATACTTTATTTTGACAAGGTCTCACTAAGTCACTAAGTTGCCCGGGCTTGGCTTGAACTTTCCATCCTCCTGCCTCAGCCTCCTAGAGTGCTGGGACTGCTGGCCTGTGCCACCACACCTGCTGCATCATTGATATTAATGCTACAGGAGCACCCTCCAGCCCAGGGCCAGCTAGTGCCTGGCTCCCACTTCCTGAGCAGAGGAAGCAAGGAAAGAACAGCTCTCCACAAAGCCTGGGAGAGGAGGGACAGTCCCAAAGTGGAGGGGCTTGGGGCCCCCCTTCCAGGCAGCTGGAAAACCAGCAGGCTGGAACCAGTGCGCAGGTCAGCAGGGATTAAGCCGAGCTCCTTCTGCTCAAGCAGCTTCATCAAGGAACCGCCAGAACACGCAGAGCTGCTCTGCCGCAGTCGAGGATGGAGCAAGCCATGCGAGGAGAACAGAAGTAAATTATTCATTCCCCACAAATGAGCAGCCTCTGGGCACCTGCTGCAGCCAGGAACCTGAAAGGCTCTGAGAATCCCATCAGTGACACCAATCCCGCCCTCACCCCGCTGACTGCAGGCCGGGTCTGTCTACACAGGGTGAATCGGCTCTGTCCCCAGCATGCGGAGGCCGCAGCCCAGCCTGGCACCTGGGAAGTGGGGGCACAGGGTGCAGGAAGCCTCCGTATAAAGGACCTCTGCTCACCCTGGCCTCCAACCCCCAACTCTGCCAGGGAGATGGGGGTGGGGTGGTGCTGGCTACCATGCTGATGCCCAGGCCCCACCAGGTCCCTGCAGCGTCCAGGGCCAGCACCAGGACCAGTCTGCATTGGAGACGAAAGCCTCCATCCAGGGACTCTATAATGACTTGCTTTTGGGTGGTGCAGACCCTGGGTGGAGGGGACATGCAAGGGATTAGGATGCCCTCAAGCAGTCCCTTTAGTCCTGCTGGACATGGTCAACAGGGTCTCCCCTCGGGGCCAAACCAAGTGGGGCCCTGGGCTGTCACCTCTTTATGGATAAGTGTCACTTCCTCTGGGAAATGGAGACCGGGGCCTGGGAATGCAGGACACTTGCTGAGTCACTGGGTGGGAAGGGAAGGGACACTGGAGGTCCCTTCCTTCCAAGGACTTCCGTTAGGGCTCAGCAGGCACCCACTGCTTACAGCACAACAGCCGACCCTCAGTGTTCCTCCAGGGTCCCTGGGTGGCACCTGGTAGTTCATAGACACATGCCCCCAGGGAGGTGTCCAGCTCCTCCAGGCCCCCACCTGGGTCTGGCAGGACACAGAGGCCCTGGCCTGCCCCTTGGCTCAGGAGTCTGCTCGTGCAGTGGGCCAGGGGACCCAGGCAGCCAAGCTCAGGGCCCGCACATCTGATTTCTCTTGGGCTGGAGCAGGCATTCCGTCAAACTCCTCTTCCTTCTCACTCTGAACATATTCAGCTGGGCTCCTACTATGTGCCACACAGTGCCGGCATGTCACAGGTGCCAGGCCAGGGTACCTGTGCGGTGCTGGGGACACCCAAGGGCAGAGCCGTCCAGAAGTCTACACCCGCCCTGGGGGCCAGCACCTGCCCCACCACAACCTGTGACTGCCTTCCCACATAGACCTCCAGCCTCTGGGTCCCCCATGTCCCTGGCCACCCGGCTGCAACGCCATGGCAGGGAATAGCAGTGGAAGAGCTGGTCTCTGAGTGGCCACCTCGGAAGCCCCTGGCCCTGCTCCTTCTCAGGAATAAACTGGGCCTGAGGCCCCCTTTAGCCGCATGAGCTCCCAGCTTGTGGAGCACTGGGGTTTTCACAGCTCTCTGTGCACCTCACCAGTGCGTCATGCCTCAGGAAGGAGCCACAAAACCACCACAGAGAAGTCCAGGGGCCACGGTCATCCCGCTCTTCTCAGCCTCTGAGAGGCGGCAGAGACCGTCCAGGAGGCCATCTGACTGTGCCACCGTCCAGCTCCCATCCCAGGAAGGGAAGTGGAGGGGCCCCGTCCACAGCTCAAGAGCAGCAATCTCAGTTGTGTGCCTCAGAGCTTGGTGACCCATCTCCTGGGCCGTGGACAAAGTCACTTCCGTAAGCCTCACCTCAGTTCCAAGCTTTTTTTTGGTCTTTTTGTGATGGTCTCACTGTGTAGCCCAGGCTGGCCTTGGCCTCACAGTGACCTTCCTGCCTCAGCCTCCCAGGCACTGAGGTTACAGGTGAGTGCCACCATGTGCAGCAGAATTCGTCTTTTCTAGTTTCACAGTTCACAGGGTTTTCACAAATGAACCACTAACATAATTTCAGCACAAGAATAGAATGTATGTGAGTAAGTAGTTCTGGCTACTGTGAGTATTTATCGTCTCCCCGGCTATGCTCTCGAATTATTTTATTAATTGCTAGTTTTCCAACTGATTTCTTTGGCTTTTTTCCAATACAAGAGAAGAGCAGAATGGAACCCAGCCTCTGGTAATGAAGCGGACACACGCAGTGGCTGGGAAAGGAGACACTTATTTGTTTTCTTGTCCCTATCCCATCCTGCAGCAAGGAAGCGAAGGCTGGAAATGATCTAACTTGCCCGAGGTCACACAGCTGGAAGAGGAACATCCGGGGCCTAGACGGCCTAGCCGCAGTCAGCTCTGCACTTCACATCCACAGCCATCCCCCAGGGACAAGTGACATCGCTGTCACTGGTGTTTGGGGACTGCTTGGCTCTAGAGGGCGGGAGGCATGGGTGTAGGGACTGCTCTGCGCCACAGCTCCAGCTGAGGAACCCCCAGGCTCCCAAGCTTACCCCAGCCCAGAGTGGACAGTGGGTGTCCGGGCAAAGTGGGCCCTGACCACTCCTCCTGCCCAGTGAGATGCAGGGAAGAGTGAGGTGTTGCTAGGTGACAGAAGCATCAACAAGATGGGACAGCCCCATTTCCTCCTGGGCTGGCAGACATCCCTATTGCCCTGTGGGCTGAGGGGCAGTTGGGACTCAGTTTACCCTCCCTGCAGTCTCTGCCTCTTTTCTCTCATGGCATTTTCTACCTTTTCTTCCCCAGGAGAGCGCCTATGTGGGGAGAGGCCTTACAGCCCCTGCCAGGCCCACTGTCCCTGAAATGACTGCTCTTCAGTCAGTGGCCCGCCTCCTCTCCAGTGTCATCAGCACCTGTTCAGGGGTGGAGAAGCCCATTCTGCCTGTCCCAGGGCTACTGACCAACAGCCGGGCACTAAGCAGGCCACACACAGGCTCTGCAGGAATGGAGGCAGCCAGGGCGTTCCCTCCAAGCCATCAGGCCCAAGTGTCTGCCCCCAGATCACCAGCCACACATTTAATGCCCCACTCAAACTCCACACCCCCGAAATTATCTTGCTGTGTGTGGACCTGAACATGGGTGGGCCTGCCTCATCGAGGCTTGCGAGGGCAGGTATGGCATGAGAGCCCTCAGCCCAGCACACAGCTTGGAACCCAGGACTTCAAGAAAAACAGACCCAGAGGGTGCAGAAAGAGAACCGGGGGTGCAGAGAGAGAACCAGGCAGCTGACCGTCAGTGACTCTTTTTTCTGTGGTACTGGGGATTGAACCCAGGGCCTTTGCCCCAAGCGGCACCTTCAGTCCTGTTTATTTTTAAATGACTAATTCACTTACTTTGTTTTGCAGTCTTGTGGGCTGAATCCAGGGAAGGCAAGTCGGAGAGGGCAGTCCCCAGGACCCTGGCACCCCAATGTCCAACCTGGGGAACAAAACAGGGAGACCCCAGGCTCCTCTATCTGTCCTTGGCTTAAGAGGCTGAAGCAGGCAAAGCCCACTCCTGGGGAGCCCGACACTGAAAGCCTGTCGGAACCCAATCTCCGGTTTCTAGGAACACTGCTGTTGCTCGTCCCTACAGGACAGTTTAAATTTTAATTTTTCTATTACCGAGTCAGATGAGAAGGAAGAGACCTCTAGGCCCAGCCTCCTCATGCCTTATTCATGGAATTCCACAAGGAGCTGTGAACACAGAACCTGCCAGGCCCAGCCCTGGTGCCCCTTGCACCCTGGGCCTCGGCCTCCCGATAGCCCTTGGGCTACCAGTCCCCTCCCCTAGCCATCGCAATCCCACTTGGGACCCGGTTCTCCAGGTCTGACCACTGCAGCCTAGGAATTGTGACAAGTGTTCTTCAGTACCTGCAGGCTCAGGACTCCATGCTTAGAGCAGGGGACAGGAGCAGCTGTCACTGCATCTGTAGGTGGCAGCTGCCAGCACTGTGGCTGACGGTGGAGGAAGCGACGGAACCCACATCACAGGCAGGGGAAGATGGCGAGGCATGGGGGCTGGGACAGTGCACAACACCAGCTGCCATGCCCTGCCTGCCTCAGGGTCCCGCTGTGACCTAACACTGTGCTCACCAGTCAGCCTTACCCAATGTGACATCGAATCGGGACTCCTCCTCCCCTCCCCCACTGGTGCAGCTTCTCCACAGAGGCTCAGGCCACGGAAACGTGATGCTGCTGATCCCTGGGCCGACGAAGGAAGCGCAGACTCAGAGATAGCGGGACTGAAATCAGGCCGGCTGGTGACAGATTAGACCAGAGCAGGCTCAGGCCCACGGCAGGTGTGCAAGATGGCCCTGGCTTCCAGCCAGGGCAGGGCTGCATGTCGGCTTCACTCAGCACAGAAATGAGAGCAGCACACACAGCGCATAGCCCCGAGGAGGCCCAGGCACACCCTGCATCCCGAGCAGTAACAGAGCCAACCCCAACCCAGGCATTCCTGCCCTGTCCTCCATGGCGCTGCCACCCAGGGCATGGCCAAGACACACCAGGCCTGCTCCCCGGCCTCTTGCATGGGCAGTGACTCTGACCAGGCCCGTAGCTGGGCCCAAGTCTGTGATTCCCAGTGAGTCCCTTCACCTACAGAGGTGGAAACCCTGGCCAGCATGAGGGCTGGCCCCACGCCACTGGCCAGGCCAGAATGCGAACCACAGTTCTCTGGAGCAGGTCGCCGCTCACAGAGGGCTGCACCTGGACTTGGCCGCAGGGGGGGCTCAGGCACCTGGGTCACAGCCCTAGGCTGCTCCTGTGCCCATAAAGGCCCAAGCTCATGGTCACCTTGTTGTCCAGGCAAACTGGGTTCCCAAGGAGCAGGACCTTCAAGGACACCACCCAAAATGACATGTCCACCCAGCCTCACCCCTGTGCCTCGCCTCTCCTTACCCACTAAGGTCTCCTCCCAGAGGCCATGGTTCTGCAGTAAGACACAGGTCCGGACACTTACAGCGAGGACAAATTCACAGAACAGGCACAGCCTAGTGGGCAGGGTGGCCTCGAAGTCCTCCCCCTACTCACCACATTCTACACATGTCCCACCGTGCCTGCTAGGACCCACAGACACAGGAGGGGGCCAGACAGAGACAAGGAGGGGAGCAGATGCAGGTGGGGACCTGCAGGCACAGACGGGGAACACGCCTACTTCTCCACCCTCTTCCCTGCATGGAGCCCCAAGCCCCAGGACTGATCAGGATCAGAAAAGAGGATGAAGCCGAGGCCATGGGGAGCAGGGGCCACTCCCACTCAAGGGGAAAAGGAGACTGTAGAAGGGAGCCAGGAGGTCTCCGCGGCATCCCCAAGCCTCTACGAAAGACGTGTGGGCCAGCAGGCAGAAGGCCAAGCCTGCCTCTGTGTCCCGGCCCAGGGCCTGACCCGGGGCACGTCTAGAAGATAAGTGGCCCAGGTAGGCGCCTGCATGCTGAGATAAGGCTATTTATAGACAGGCAAAGTTGTTTTTTCCAAGATGTCCAGAAGTACATTGCAAGGAGCACAGCGGTTTCAAGGACATACTGTGGGTGGCAAGTGAGGCCATGCCCTCCTCGTTTCTTCAAATTTTAAGTTGCACTTCTTGAAGTAGAACTAGTTCTGTTCTGGTTGAATCTAGGTCTCCTTTAGGCTCACTTTTGCATTCCCCTTGTGGCCCAAATTTATGATCGTTTCATTAAAAGGGAATTGGTGGGCTGGGTGTAGGGCATGCATGCCTGTAATCCCAGCACTCAGGAGGCTGAGGCAGGAAGATTGCCGTGAGTTCAAAGCTGGTCTGAACTCACAGGGAGAACCTGTTTCAGTAGTAGTAATAACAACAACTAAGGAGAGAGACTAGGTGACAGTGTCCAAAGGACAGAGCTTGCTGGCTTACTACCACCTCCTCCAGGAAGCCCTCAGGGACTCCTCCCAGCCCTCGCTCCCCTGTGCCAGGTGACACAGTCAGGAGCCCAAAGGGCATTCTGGGACCTGCATGGATGTTGTAGGCCAGGGAAGGTCCAGAGAGGGATGAGGGGACCTAGGGGCCATGGGACAGGGGAGCTCTAGGTGGAAAGTCCCAGGAGGCAAAGCCACCCTAGCATTGGGTGGCTTTACACATAGAGCCGGATGGCTCTCTGGGTCACCATGTGGCTTTTCAGTCTGAGTGGGCTGGCAGGACATGAGCACAGCACGGCAGACACTAGCAGGAACCCAGGACCAGCCTGGGCATGGCCTGGGCCAGCAGGGAGCCCTCTGGCTCACCCCACACCAGGAGCAAAGCCACAGCTGCTGCCAGCTTGGCACATGTGCTTTTGGGAAAGCCAAGTCACCCCGACGTCCCCCTGCCCCGGCACCTCTCGGCTCAGCTCTGAAAACCAGGCGGGCGGTAGCAGTGACTTCTAACAGATAGAATCAAATAAGCTATTCCTGGATTCCACAACTACTGAAATGTCAGTGATTCAATGTCTAAAATGTCACCTCGCAGTTGCTCGCTCACTTCTCAGTCCCAGCTTGCTGACCTCGACCCTGGGGCCTGCTGGAGCCAGGTTTCCAGAGCTCAGGCATGAGGCTGCCCTGATGCCAGGCCTGGAAATCTACACCAGTTAGAGTGAACCAGGAGCCAGGCAGGGTGGCTGCACATGTGTGGTGCCAGCACGCGGGAGGCTGAGGCAGGAGGATCACCTTGAGATCGAGGCCAGTCTGGGCTACATAGTGAGTTCAAGGCCAGCCCGCACTGGAGAACAAGACCCTGTCTCATAAAACAATAAAAAAAGAAGAAAAGAAGAAATCTAGATCAAGTAACATCTTGCCCAGCCTTGGGGCCTGGCCTTGGGGGCTGGGATGCCCCAAGCAGCTGCTACCCAGCAGAGGCCAGCTTAGGCCTCTCTCACCAGTTGGGCTCAGCTGTCCCCAGGGGATAAAAGCACAAGCCCCTCTCAGGACAGTGTACAAGGCAGAACACAGAACTTTCGTGCCACCACCCCACCCTACCCCCACCAAATTCACAGCCGGGATGCCAGCTTGGCTGCTCAGCAGCTAGGGCCCAGGGTGTCCCTCTCCACAGCCCTGCTGCCTCCCTCCCATGACTCTCGGGTTCCAAAGAGGACAGTTTCACCCCTACGGCTTTGCGTCCTCAAGATCCCTGACTGCAATTCTGTGCTTCCATGAGGGCAACCAGCTGGATTCTAGGGACAGCAAGACCTGACTCCTGCATAGATTGTCCTCACCAGACCATGGCAAATGCCAGTCATTCCTGGCCTAGGACCCACCTGTGCCCACCCCTCCCAGTGCAGGGCACAGCAGGCATCCACCAGGTGCCTACTCACTGAATGTCACCAGTGGGTAAGCAACAGAGTAGTTAAGAAAGCCAAGCCAATAATTCCAGCACTTCAAGAGGCTGAGGCAAAAGGATCACAAGTTCCAGTTCAGCCCAGCCAGTTTAGCAAGAACCTGGGGAAAGAGAGGGAGGGAGACAGAGAGAGGGAGAGGGTGAGGGAGAGAGATGGAGAGAGAGAGAG